TGAATGGCTCAGTCTTTCCAGTTTTAAAGAAGCAGGAAGCCAATCAAACAAGGCCATCCTCTTCATACAGTAGGGAATGCAGTGGGCTCCATGATAGGCACACTGGGCATGCTCAAAAAGGCTCTTCTAAGGCATCTTCATTTTAGAACTGGGCGCACCAGAGAAACCTGGGCTACGTTTACTTAGAACCCTAGAGCATTAGTCCTGGTCAAGACCTTAGACATTATCTAGTCCAGGCTCATCATGTAATAGGAATAGTTTTCCTTTTCTCTGTTCAGCTGGAAGGTCTAGAGTCATTCAGAATAGGAAAAGACCTAACAGAGAGCATCTAGTTAAATCACCTGCAATAGGAATCACCTCGACAACATCCCCAACAAATGCTATTGCAGACTTTGTTGGAATACCTCCAGTAGCAAGGAACTCTGCCTAATGAGTCAGCTTCTTCTGTGTTTAGAGAGTCCTCAACATTAGGAAGTTTTCCCTTATATTGAGTCAAAAACTGCTTTCCTGAAGCTGTTACTTACAGTCCTATATTGAGTAAAGTAGTTTAAGGCACTTCTCAGATGCCACTTCCTACATGAGGACTTTCTTGGTTATCTAGCTGTTAGCACTCTCTTAATCTTGTATTCCTTTGTGTTTGTTTATCTGTACACTTATGGTATCTCTCTTTCCCTCCTTCTGCCTCTCCCCTTCTGTCCTGTCAACTTCTTGAAGGCAAGGTCTACAGTATTTAGGTTTTGTCTTTGTATCCTCAGTGATTTGCACATAGTAATAGTTTAATAAATGCTTATTGAATTGCTGAAAGTAGAAAAAGTCATTCTCTGTAAGCAGTTGGTGTGGTACATAGAATCTTTGACTTGGAGTCACAGAGTCCAAGGCTTAAATCCTGCCTCTCACACTAGATATGTGATCATGGGCAAGTCTTTTACTCTTCCTGTCCCCCAATTTCTTTTTCTGTAAAATGAAATATTAATTTACATAGTAACTGTCTAATAAATTTGATGTGAGGCTCAAATACAATGTGTGTAAAATGCTTCACAAACCTTAAAGTTTACTTATTAACATTCCAAATGACAGCCCTTCAAATAATTGAAGAAGGGGATCCTGTTTCCTCTAAGTCTTTTCTTTTCTCAGCTAAACATCCCTAGTCCCTCTGGCTGGTCCTCACATGGGATGATTTCAAGTCTCCTCACTATCCTCACCTTTCTCCAGATTTGGTCTAGATTGCAATTTCCTTCTTAGTGTGAGAACCAGAGCTGAGCACAGAATTTCAAATGTGGTTTAACCAGGGCAGAATGATGTTGAATGAATGGATATTCCAAAAGATTGGAGGATCTTAGAAGTAGTTAGTATAATTTAATTCAAAAAGTACCTATCACATATCAGGCACAAAGGAAATAACAAAGCATCTGTAACCTTAAGGAACTTATTCTCTATTAGAATGTTGTTAAACCACCCAAACTAGGATTTTGAAAGTGTTTTTCCCTTTTAGAATGGGTCAACACCTGTGTTGCAATGGAAGTGGGGAACTCTTCTCTACCAATATATGTTGACAGATTTCTCTGTAACAGTCTTAAGGCAGAGGGCTTAACCATTCTTGTTGTCATGGACCCTTGGGAAGTCTGGTGAAGTCTATGGATCTCTTTTCAGAATCATGTTTTCCAACGCATAGGATTATGCATGATAAAATAGATAGGATTACAAAGGAAACCAATATATTGAAATAGTTATAAAAATATAAAAAAACATGTTCATGAATCTTGGGTTAAGAGCCCCTACTTTAGAGAGTTGCTTGGGAGCATGCAGAGGCTGAACAATTTATCCATGGTGACTCAATTAGTGTGGGTCAAGAGCAGGACTTTAATCCAAACCTTCCTCTGGTGCTTAACATATAGTAGGTGCTTAATTGATTTATCCAAGGCCCATCTTCTATTTATTATTTATTACACCAGTCTGCCTCATTACTAGTAAACTTACTCCTTTGAATTAAAAAAAAAAAAAAACCACACACACACATGCTCATAGATTTACAGCTACAAGGAAACTCAGAGATCATCTAGTCCATCCTCCCCATTTTGCAGGTGAGGAAACCAAGGCCCAGAGAGATGAAGTGATTCATCTAAGTCAGAGGCAGTAAGCATTAAAGGTGGGATCTGAACCTATTTCCCCAGACTACAGAATCAGTGCTCTTTCTATCTACCATATCAGGCTGTCTCCTTCCTAACTGACATGTTTTCATGGGCAGTTTTAAGTAAATGTCATATGCTCATAAATCTCTGATGCTGTGAGAAGATGATTTCTAAAAGCCCTTTTCAGCCCTACTATACCTTACACTAGGGGCCCTTTTTCCCCTGAAATGGACACATTATTAAAATTCATATTGCATATTTCCATTGAGTTGGAACCAATGTTCATGTCTTACATAATTATAACTTCAAATAGTGCAAATTAAAATGCATGTGACGACTTCCAGAGGATTCATTTTTTGCACTAATCAGGACCTCTTTGTATTATACAGTAAATATAGAATGTCAAAGCAGGAAGGGCCTTATAGGTCATCTACTCACAGAATCATAGATTTAATGCTGGAAGGCACCACAGATGTCATCTTCAAGTTTATTTTACAAAAGGGGAAATAGATTCAAAGAGATAAAGAGTTTTTTTTCTGGGATAGCATCAGCAGCTCCCTTCTAGGAGCAGTGTTTCAAGGCCAAATAGTCTGATTCAAAGTCTAGTGTTCTTTTCATCCTAGTTTACTCCCTTATATTACAGATGAGAAAACTGAAGCTCACATGACAAGGCCAAAATCTCACAGCTAGTTAGTAGCTGGGACTAGAATCCAGGTTTCCTGCCTCCTAGATGAAAGTTTTTGTGAAAAATAGATAAGTGATTCAATGACTCTATTGTGGAGGCAGTTTTGCTTAGTGGGTAGGTCCTGACTCAGAAATTCACTAGCTCTATGACCTTGGGTAAGTCACAAACCTCTCAGCTTCAGTTTCCTCATCTGTAAAATAATAGCATTTACCTCACAGAGTTGTGATAAAGTTCAAATGAGATAATATATGTAAAACACTTTGCAGACCTTAAAGTGTTATAAAAAGTTAGTTAGTACTACTAGTACAACAACCATCACAACTACTACTACAACTGCTTTTATTATTAGCACTACTGCTACTTTTATTATTATTATTAGTAGTAATGTGTGGATAACCTTGCACCAACTAGCCACTCAATTTTTCTCCTCAACTTTGGTATACAGAATGTTATGGTATTTTAATGAGAAAAACTTCAGGAAAGGGCCTAGTTATAAAAAGAAACAGCTAGGCTATCTTGCCCTCTGAAAATTCAGTTTAAGAGAGACAAGGATAGCTGACTTAGAGTAAAGGAAGCCATCATAGAGCAGCTCCTAGGAATGGGGGAAACAGAGTGGGGTTGTCTCCAGGCTAAAGTCTCTCTATAATATGTCATAGAAAAGAATTTTCCTTTTTAGGAATAGCTCGTAAAGAGAAGGACTTAAAGGGTAATCACAGAATTGTACTTCTTTACTCTCCTCCCTCATTCATAAAGGCCTTTTCCTCAAAATTAAGGGGGTGGGGTCTGGGAGCTAGGTGGCAAAGTAGATAGGGTATAAAGCCTGGAGTAAGAAAGACCTGAGTTAAAATCTGGCCTCTGACACTTACTAGTTGTGTGACCCTGATCACTTGACTCTGGCTGCCTTTGCCAGAGTTTCCTTTGCCTTACTTTCCTCATCTGGAAAATGAACTGGAGAAGAAAATGGCAAACCACTTTAGTATTTTTACCGAGAAAACCTCAAACAGGGTCACAAAGAGTTGGATGTGATTGAAATGACTGAACAACAACAAAACTGAATATTTACTTTGAAATGATGGTCATTGAAGCTTTCCTAACACCAAAGGTCAAGTTTTGTATTTCGTAGTCTGTACATGTGATTAATTAGTCAGTAGGTTGAGGTGGGCTGTGGAAAACACTTCTTTGGAAATCATTGTTTTTCTTCTAGAGTTTATTCAGTTTGCAAAAGGATCTCATCCACAAATATAGACTTACAAATAAAATATATTTAGGGTCCTTTTTGTGCTGAAATGGTATTTGGCATATCTAGTTTCTATTTTGTGGTCCACTTTTCTCTTTACTGACAATTGTTTTTCAAGGTGAATGTTGACTAAATTCACTTAGCACTCTGCTGCATTCTATCTATCTATCTATCTGTCTATCTATCTATCTATCTATCTATCTATCTATCTATCTATCTATCTATCTATCTATCT